TGCTCCGCGGCATGTGGGATCTTCCCGACCGGGGGCACGAACCCATGTCGCCTGCATTGACAGACGGACTCTCAACCACTGCGCCACCAGGGAAGCTCTCCCCCCTTCTCTTTAATTGCATACCTTTCCAGCTTCTGGCAGCCCCGCTGTTTTACAGGAACTTGGAGTCAGCTTATCCTGAGAACCAGCTAGGGCTGGTTGCAACCACTGCGCTTAAAACGGGCCTGGTGACGTCAGACGCCGGAAAACTCCACCCCCCAATCACGCTCAGCGCCTCTATTTTGAATATGCAGAAGCTCCCAAAGAGATGCGCCTGCTCAGAACACGGATTGCCTCACCTTCCCTGCCTCCCATTACCTTTCTGTACTCCTAAGACCTCCCTGCTTATCCCATAAATATCCCAACATCCTCGCCTTTGGGGAGGCAGTTCTGAGACTTGTTCTCCGGTTTCCTTGCGAATCAGCTGTTTGTCGGCTATAAACCTTAGCAACTCAGAGTTCGGGTTGCTGTCCGTTGGACAAAGGGACCTGGTTTGGTAACATTTTTGAGTCTAAGTTGCTGTTGAATATATTCCTTGAGAAACTACATCTTTTGAATGAAATAATTTAGGGCAGTTGGTGAAGAAAAAAATAATAATGTGCCGAATTAGAAAATACATTTTGTTTAAGAAAAACATTAATGAGCCTTTATTACTGGAAAATTATACCTGCTAAAAGAAAATTCCTTCAATACTGTCTTCCCATGAAAATGTTTGAGAAGTTCTCATCAGATATTATTGCATGGTAGCAGTAAAAATATTTAAATAGGGGTGAAATGCATAAAACGAATCAGCATGCAAGAGTAGGAAATCCAGTTCATTTTCTGGCGAATAAAAAGAAAATTTAATCTATGTAAATAAATAAATAATTTACATAATATAAATAAAAGATATTTCCTGGTATTTTTTTACTGGTATTGTATGAGACTTCTTACCCAATCCTATGTATTGTATCTTTTTCCCCTTATATAGACAACATCAAATTTATGCTAAAATTTAATCCATAGATATGACTATACATATCTACACATTATGATCATACAATTATTCTGATTTCAGACTAACAAAGTTAGGATGTTTGTGTTTTCTATAATTATCTCTGTATAAATTTCCTTTTCTCACAAAAAAATTAAATGTAAAATGCTTTTTTAAATGTCACCTTTCTTGGTGCTGCCATTATTTTTATTATTATTTATTGTTAGTAACATGTTTGTCTTTCCTGAGGAAATTACATTGCAAAATGCCAGCACACAGTGCACCACGGATCTTCAGCGCAATGAATGAAGTACTAGAAAGCTACAGGCACATACAAATGGCACATCTACAAGATAAGGTTCTATATAGAAAACTACATACTTGGATTATGTTTTTGATGTAAATCTTTAAGAAAAATTGTTACGACTAAAAATCTATTAATGGGACTTGTTTAAAATTGGTACATTCAGAATTTCACTTAAATGTTAATGCATAAAACCTTCTTCCATTATTGTGATTCCACAGATTCTCTTAGTCATTTCCGATATTTAACTGAGTCATGCTTGGCCAAAACCTGATATTTCTTTACAGGTAGTAAAGACTTCTATGTTTTTGTTTGTTTGTTTGTTTCCCCTACCTATCCAACCTTGGAGCCATTCTGAGATGAGTGGCAGTCCTTAGAACATTAAAAAGAGAGGGAGGGGGCTTCCCTAGTGGCACAGTGGTTGGGAGTCCGCCTGCCGATGCAGGGGACACGGGTTCGTGTCCCGGTCCGCAAAGATCCCACATGCCGCGGAGCGGCTGGGCCCGTGAGCCATGGCCGCTGAGCCTGCGCGTCCAGAGCCTGTGCTCCGCAACGGGAGAGGCCACAACAGTGAGAGGCCCGCGTACAGAAAAAAAAAAAAAAAAAAAAAGAAGAGAGGGAGGGAATTTCTCAGCTAAGGCTAAATGAGAATTTCCTAAGTAGGAAAATAATATCTTTTTAACCAGGAAAGAAACAAACTGTCCCAGACACAATAAGTAAGCAGTATTTTAGAGCACTCAGTCCTCTGACTGCCTGGACTACCTTGTTAACCAGTTGTAGACCATATGTGATCATCTTTTGTTTTCTCATCTTCTATTGCCACTCCCTTCCATTTGAAGAAAAACATAGTGCATTTTTCCTGTCACATTCTTTTCCTCCTGTAGCAGCCCTAAACCACTGAAATCTTGACACAGTACAGTAGTTGAAGATTATTCATTGAGTTTAATTAACCCCTCCTTGCTGAAAAGTAGTTTTAAACATTTGTTCATAGTTTTTCAATTGCTCTTATCAAACCTTCAGGGTTTAAAGAGCCTTGGGCTGCCGATAGATTACTAGGAGGGGAAAAAAGCTACCGCCACATCTTCAGGGAATACAACCTGAGTGTAATACCTTCATAATCACTTCTGTCATCATTTTATAAGTGAAATCTCTTATCCTCAAAGAATGTTAAGGTACTATTTGTTAATTAGAGTCTATAGTTTTTCCTCAGTGAAAAAATAAGCATATGTCATCTGAACAACTTGTGTTTAGAAAATATTTTTTAGCTCCTATTTTTAGAAATCATTCAGCTATTGATTAAAAAAAAAAAGTCTGGCATGGATCCATAAAAATCATTTCTGACCGATCAGAGTTCATATATTCATAGGGCATTATCAAAATTGGCTCTAAAAGTGACTGTGGTATAATTCTGAGTGGCAACAAAAATGTCTAGTAATTATTCCTTCTCAGTGGCTGAGGCCAGCATATTTAGCCACAAGTGATTTGCAAACCTGTCAGCCATTTTCTCCCCTAAAAGCAATAAGTACACGTCCACTCAGGAGTTTGTTTTGGATTTATCTGTGTTGACCAAGCACTCAAACTATGAGTGAACAAGTGCTGGGATGAATTTTGAACATTTATACGATCTTCAGACTAGCAATTAAAGTCTGATTTGGACAGCTTTATTCACACACTTATAGCTTCTATTTTTACTAATAGATATTCCCATATACACAAATAAGATTTTAAATTAAGTAGCTAAGGAATTAGAAATTTCACATATAAATGTTAGTGATCTGAAATGACCCACCACTAAGTTAACTGATCCAAAATAATATTGAAAATGCTTTTATTCATCAATACTAGATGCAGAAGAAAACCAAAACACCCAGACCTAGGAATTATTAGACCAAGAAGAAATTCAAGATGTTAAAATTTTCAAATTATAGCTAATATTAGCAATGAGAATCATTAATCTGAGGCTTTTCTGCAATAACTACTATCACTATTGTTTTTTTCATTATTTTAAACGCTTAACCAACACACAGCATTTTTCGGTCTCTAAACGATCTATGCCAACATCAATACCATGAAATTGAATCCTTTCTGTGATAGAATAGGAATGGCAGATCTGGCTATTCATCTCTGATAAATCTCAGAAATGCTATGTGTACTAAGCAGCGCTACTCAGAACTGGCTATATCACAACTGCCTGAGAATATGGAAAAAATAGAGATGATAGTGATAGATATAGATGGAGATATACATATAGAGGAAGATATGGATCAGTTCTAGATATATATAAGATAGAGATCTCTCTCCAGGTCTCTCTCTCTAAAGAGATCGATCCATCTAGATGAAGATATATAGAAGCTGTTTCTATATATCATCTAGATCATTCTATCTCTCACTCTAGATATCTAGAGATATAGTTACATGATGACCGATAGGTAAACAGAGAGACAGACAGACAGACTCCAGACTCCTCACACACCTCTACTTTCCTCACTGCAATTATCCCTGGAAAGATTAGGAGAGATTACATTAGCTTCTCCTACCAAATTGACTTGTAAATTAGAGGAATGGCCACAACTCTCAATAATTCTGATTCACTAGAGCTAGGGAGGCTGAGGAATCTATAATTTTTTATAAGATCCCCAAGTATCTCTGATGTACAGCCAAATCTGGAAACCTGTGACTTAGAGTACATGGCATTTCTCAGGAAATTTTCTTTCTCCTTAATTGTATTACTCAATGTAGAATTTACCATTTTGGTTCCACAAGTAAGAAACAGAAGACATGGTAGTTAGATATATAATCACAGATGTTAGGTATAAAGTCTAGGTGTGTTTGCTGTGTTCAGATTAGTCTCATATAATTAGTTCTTATTGTTGGGAGGAAAAATTTTCCTTCTATTCTTCTAGATCCTGTGGCTGATCTAACAATTAAAATGACATATGACAGATTAACAACAGAAAAATGAATTTAACTATGTATATAGGGGAGCCCCATAAAGATAAGAGATTCAAAAGGCAGCCAGGCAATTGAGATATAAAACTTCTTGGGCTAAGGAAAGGGGTAGAGGTCTGGGATACAAAGAAGGGGAAGACAAGTCACAGGAAGGTGAGAGGAGGAAGTGTTTGGTAAACAAAGTTTGCCCTGTTATGCAAATAAGTTTCTTAGGTAACAAGTTATTTTTGGTAGTAGCTCTCCTCCCAGTATAGGCCCCTTTCCAATGTAAATTCTTTTATTACTGCAGATTTTCCCCACAAATGTGGAAATTTATATTTCTTTTAGGTAGTCAGGGGGAAGAAGAGCTTTTCCTGAGTCAGCTCAGTCTTGATTGCCTTTAGTTCAAAGTAATCCTCATGGGAAAGTGGCAAATTTGGGGAAGACTTATTCTTGAATAAGCACGTTTCATGTAAACACTATGTATGATTTAAGTGCAATTATTCTTATGATATAGTTAAGAAATATGCCCCATTTTGTAAGCAGATAGGGTAGGGGATCCCCAGAGACAGACCACCAAGCATGGCTTTCTCGACATAAGAGAAGGCATTTTTGGCCTAAGCCATTTCGTTATCTAAGCCTAGCCACAATGCTTGCCCCTGAATAGGTCTCAGTAATTAATAATCTTAAGGAAAGTAAGGGAATGCAGGAACAAAGGAAAAGCAGTCAAGAAACAATAGTTCAGTGATAAAACTGAGTCCTAGTTTCTCCTTAAGAGATATACATACCAATCTGATACATGTCTTTGAGTCCTGCAGGAACTAAGGTCTCCATGATGTTGACCCTCGTGACTTCAGTCAACTAAAGCTTGGACTATGTCAACCTTGGCCCCAATTCTATGCTAAATTCTCCTCTGCCCCAGTCCCTCCATGAATATGCATGTACCCTTAGTTTAAAACTTCCCCAATTTTGCTGTTTAGAGAG